TTCCACATAAATCAAGCAGGCCCAGGCTGGCATGCAGGAGCTCTGAACTCTCTCAAGCACTTTCTCAATAGGATACACAGCTTAGAATTGGCAAAGAATTGACAGAATGGCTGTTCTAAAGCTAAAGGAAGAAACAATACCAAATACCTGAACCACACAATGAGGCAATTTGCAAAAGAAACTAAGGATGGTGCAGAGTGTGTGCGCACACGTGCAAGAAAACCTGGAAAAGCATATGTCAGGTAGGACAAACTCAGGCTCATTGTGAGATAAGAATTCCAGCCACACCACTGCAGGCTGTGATCACATTGGATCTTACAAGATAAATAGGATTCGGCTTGTTTGGTATTTTGATGAGAGATCTCCAAGAAACATCTAGATGTGGCAGGAAGTGGTGGTGGTGGTGGGGACTATCTTCCCTCTGGTCCACTCAAGAGGTGCCGTGAGTGCATTCTTAGAGAGAAAAGACCAAAGCTCTGGTGTCCTATCCCAATCCTAACTTCAGTAACTACTTTCTAGCTACACACACACACACACACACATCAACCCAATTACTTGTAAAGTTTTGATGAGTGGTGCTGTGAAACTGGTACCATGCCCTCCCCCACATGTGGATCCATTTCTGGTTTGTGATCCATGGGGTTGGACAGTACTACACTTAAGGTTACTAACACCAAGGAAAGCACAGACCCAGCACAGGGCAAGGTGGGGCCCAAAGGGTTATTCTCTGGCACTGCATAGAGGCAAGCTCAGCCAGCAAGGTCCAGGCAGCACTGAGTGAACACTGCCACAAGCAATGCCCACACCGATGCTGGGGCTCCCTCAACGCACCTGGCACCCAGCCCTCCGCAAGGCCCCCAGGCCCCAGCTTCCGTCTTGCAGCTGCCTTGAAGTACCCAGCTCCCCTCATGGTAGCTGGTTAAACCCAGCAGGCTCCCTGTGCTGAGGCACTTTGCTATAAACAAAATTGACACCCCCTCCCCCTATCCCGGGCACTGCCTCCCGCCCCCAGCCACCCTGTCCCACAACCCCCAGCTGGCCCAGGCACCAGCCCCCCACCAGCCCCCAACCCCGGCACCAGCCCAGGCACCGGCCCCCAACCGCAGCACCAGCCCCCCAACATCCCCCATGCCGGGCAGTGCCTCTGGCCCCCAGCCACCCTGTCCCACAACCCCCAGCTGGCCCAGGCACCAGCCCCCCACCGGCCCCCAACCCCCCAACATCCCCCATCCCGGGCAGTGCCTCCGGCCCCCAGCCACCCTGTCCCACAACCCCCAGCTGGCCCAGGCACCAGCCCCCCACCGGCCCCCAACCCCGGCACCAGCCCAGGCACCGGCCCCCAACCGCAGCACCAGCCCCCCAACATCCCCCATCCCGGGCAGTGCCTCCAGCCCCCAGCCACCCTGTCCCACGGCCCCCAGCTGGCCCAGGCACCAGCCCCCCTCACCGGCCCACAACCCCCCAACATCCCCCATCCCGGGCAGTGCCTCCGGCCCCCAGCTGGCCCAGGCACCAGCCCCCCCCTCACCAGCCCACAGCCCCCCAACATCCCCCATCCCGGGCAGTGCCTCCGGCCCCCAGCCACCCTGTCCCACAACCCCCAGCTGGCCCAGGCACCAGCCCCCCACCGGCCCCCAACCCCCCAACATCCCCCATCCCGGGCAGTGCCTCCCGCCCCCAGCCACCCTGTCCCACAACCCCCAGCTGGCCCAGGCACCAGCCCCCTCACCAGCCCACAGCCCCCCAACATCCCCCATCCCGGGCAGTGCCTCCGGCCCCCAGCCACCCTGTCCCACGGCCCCCAGCTGGCCCAGGCACCAGCCCCCCACCGGCCCACAGCCCCCCAACATCCCCCATCCCGGGCAGTGCCCACGGCCCCCAGCTGGCCCAGGCACCAGCCCCCCCATCCCGGCCACCACCCCCCGCTCCCAACGGCCCTCCCGCCCCAGTGTCCCCGCTCCCCCCCTCTCACCCGAGCCGGCGGCTCCCAGTCCCCGTCGCGACCCGCCTCCAGGCGCGCAGACCCGCCCCCAAGGCCGCGACCAGCCCCATTGCAGCCTCTGCTTGTCACGCAGCCCCCTGTGCCTCCCATTGGACAGGAGGCCTGTCTGTCACTCAGACGAACGGGGCGGCTCGTAACCCAGCCGTTCATCGCTCTGCGGACAAGCGGGTCCCGCCCGCCGCCGTTGCCGCCGCGGGCTAAGGCCCGGCCTGTGACTGACCCCCCGGGGATGGGGCCGGTGGCGGGCTGGGGGCATGGGGCATGCTGAGCGGGCAAGGTGGGGAGGGGGCGCCGCTGAGCGGGGGGTGCATAGGCCGGGGCGGGGAATAAGTGAGCCGGCTGGATGCCGCGGGGGGCAGAGGAATGCGAGGCCGGAGCGAAGGAGGGGGGAGGCTGGACGAGAAAGAGAAGCAGGGTGGTGCATTGCAGTCATTAAGGCGAAAGCATGGATGACGATTTGGCATCTGACGGGAGGGACAGAGACTCGTGCAGCTGTTGGTGGTACTGGGTGATTTTTGTCTCTGTAGCTAGTGGGGTAGTCAGAAACAGCCAGGAGTCCAGATACCCTCCGAGGTTGTGATCTAACATAGTGATCTGGGGCTGGTACCTTCAGTGAGGTGTGATGTTACGTGCCTCCCTTTAGCCACCAGTATCATAAGAACATCAGAACGGTCATACTGGGTCAGACCAAAGGTCCATCTAGCCCAGTATCCTGTCTGATGACAGGGGCCAATGCCAGGACAGGTGCCCAGAGGGAATGACCAGGTGATCCATCAAGTGATCCATCTCCTGTTGCCCATTCCTGGCTTCTGGCAAACAGAGGCTAGGGACACTGTTCCTGCCCCATCCTGGCTAATAGCCATTGATGGATCTATCCTCCATGAATTTATCTAGTTCTTTTTTGAACCCTGATATAGTCTTGGCCTTCACAACATCCTCTGGCAAAGAGTTCCACAGGTTGACTGTGCATTGTGTGAAGAAATACTTCCTTTTGTTTGTTTTAAACCTGCTGACTATTAATTTAATTTGGTGACCCCTAAGTTTTTGTGTTTGAGGAGTAAATAACACTTCCTTGTTTACTTTCTCCACAACAGTCATGATTTTATAGACCTCCATCATATCCCCCCCAGCCATCTCTTTTCCAAGCTGAAATGTCCATGTCCCTAATAATTTTTGTTGCCCATCTCTGTACCTTTTCCAATTCTAATATCTCTTTTGAGATGAGGCATCCAGAACTGCACACAGTATTCAAGATGTGAGTGTACCATGGATTTATATAGAAGCAATACATTTTCTGTCTTATTATCTATCCCTTTCTTAAAGATTCCCAACATTCTGTTTGCTTTTTTGACTGCTGCTGCACATTGTGTGGATGTTTTCAGACAACTATCCAAAATGGCACCAAGATCTCTTTCTTGAGTGGTAACAGCTAATTTCGACCCCATCATTTTATATGTATAGTTGGGATTATGTTTTCCAATGTGCACTACTTTGCATTTATCAACATTTAATTTCATTCACCATTTTGTTGGTCAGGTCACCCAGTTTTGTGACATCTCTTTGTAACTCTTCACAGTCTGCTTTGAACTTTTCACCAGTCTCCTACATCGTCTCTTAGTTTGGCTTCAGCCAGCTATTCTACACTGAGACTGAGCTTCTCCAAGCACCAGGATAGTTGGGAAACGTTAATGTTTGTATTAAACATAAAGGAGCTCTAAAGCTGGGTGTTATCTTCATATTGCCGTCATTGGAGCGTCTCTTGTCTCCTAGACTCAATTTACTGTTCCTGGGATTCAGAGGAGTGGGTGATCTCCATGAACCACTGTAGACTGGCTAGTCCTAGCAGCAAGAAGTGCTGCTTTGTACAGTTTGGTGCAGGCATTCAGATTGGAAAACCAATTAAAATTCCAGAATAATTCAGGAGGGAGTGATTTAACAGCTCCTAAAACAGGGACGTAGCATCTCTTGACCACTTCCACAATGTAGACATGTCAAAAATTCTGTCTGATTTATTTACTACAAATATCATGCACATTTTAAATATATTTAAAAATGGAAGAGGAACTTTTCTTTCAGAAAGGCCAGTGCCAACTTCCTTCAAACAACCGTTTGTTATGTTAAGCTCTTGCTCAAGAAATTGTTTCTTAGCTCTGGCTTTCTTGATGGTTATTACATTGTCTTAAACGTTTTCTTTGGTAAGGGTTCAGAGGTTTGTGGCACAGCACCTTTGGTGTCAATAGGTATCTCTGGTTTCATAGTAGCAGCCGTGTTAGTCTGTATTTGCAAAAAGAAAAGGAGTACTAGTGGCACCTTAGAGATTAACAAATTTATTTGAGTGTAAGCTTTTGTGAGCTACAGCTCATGACTGAAGGCATCCGATGAAGTGAGCTGTAGCTCACGAAAGCTTACGCTCAAATAAATTTATTAGTCTCTAAGGTGCCACAAGTACTCCTTTTCTTTTTGTGACTAGGTATCTCTGTGTTCCCTAGTTCCTTTAGCTTCTGCTGTGATGCCTACAAGAAAATAGCTTAGTAGGGCACCTACCTGTCTAGGTCAGCACTCAGGAGTGGGCTAGCCATCCTTCCAGAGAGCAGAGGTGAAACCCGCGGGAAGCAGCAGAACCCTAGATGAGGGAAGGCCAGGGGACTGGATTGTGTGTATGGGGCGGGCAGGCAAATGCAGCATGTTTAATCTAAACACTAAAGCTAGACGATCAGGCCGCTCCCAAAACCACCCGTCACCTGTCTGCAGGCCGTGTCCCTCGCGGCCTTTGCCTGGGGCAGGCCCGGTGAGGGAAGCGCCAGGGTAGCTCAGGCACCGCCAGCGTCCAGTAATAAACGACCCTTTCGCCCCGCCCCCGGGCTTGCCCTCGAGACCCCGTCCCCGTTCTTTTCCGTGAAACCCCACCAGAAACACCTCCGGTCCCCGCGGCCGGAGGGAAGGGGGAACACTTTGTGCGCGGGCCGTGCCGGCACTTCCGGTCTGGTCCAAACAGCAGAGAGGGACCGGAAGTGTAGGGGGCACAGTTATCGCACGGACACTTCCGGGTCAGGTGACTTTTCCGCTGTGAGCAGGCGGTCGGCGAGGCTGCGGCGGGAGAAATTGGTGGGGTGCTGGTGTTGGAAAAGCCGCAGCCATGGTGAGGGCCCGGGTGTAACGCGGCGGCGGGAGGAGGGGGGGCCGGGCCCCGGGTGTAACGCGGCGGCGGGAGGAGGGGGGGCCGGGCCCCGGGTGTAACGCGGCGGCGGGAGGAGGGGGCCCGGGCCCCGGGTGTAACGCGGCGGCGGGAGGAGGGGGGCCGGGCCCCGGGTGTAACGCGGCGGCGGGAGGAGGGGGGCCGGGCCCCGGGTGTAACGCGGCGGCGGGAGGAGGGGGGCCGGGCCCCGGGTGTAACGCGGCGGCGGGAGGAGGGGGGGCCGGGCCCCGGGTGTAACGCGGCGGCGGGAGGAGGGGGGGCCGGGCCCCGGGTGTAACGCGGCGGCGGGAGGAGGGGGGGCCGGGCCCCGGGTGTAACGCGGCGGCTCCTCTTGTAGACTGTGGGGAAGAGCAGCAAGATGCTGCAACACATCGATTATCGCATGAGGTGCATCCTGCAGGATGGACGTGTCTTCATCGGCACTTTCAAGGCCTTCGACAAGCACATGAACCTGATCCTGTGTGATTGCGATGAGTTCCGCAAGATCAAGTGAGCAGGGGTTGTCAGGGTGTGGGCGGAGGGGAGAGACTGCATCACATGGGTGGCTGTCCTGTGAATTCTCATTGAAGGATTTTGGAAGAGTAACAAAGCGAAATGAGAATGAGTGGGATTGAGTTCCAGGGAAAGACTGAAGGGGCTAAGCACCGCTGTCTGGCAGAGGTTGAGCGATAGTTTGTGAATATCTGAAAGGTGTAACCTCCAATATGGAAGGGGCCCTATTAGGGTACGTAATGGGGTTATAACTCAGTTTCTCCCCACTGCTCCATTGAAAATACTTAGCAGAACACATGGAAAAACATCCTGACTTTGAGCTATATCTAGTTTAGGTGGGAGCTCCACACTTCAAAATAAATAGAATGCTTATGTAACTGATGTTATTGTGGTGAGTCTGTGCCTTTCTAGGGATGGGAGGTTATCCCTACTAGCCTAAAAGTAGGAGCTTCTAGTAGTTGTAGTAGATTTATATCCTTCTAGATTAGCCACGAGTGGAGCAACCACTCTGCTAATGTGGGTTACAACTAGCCGAGTGTACACTAGGTAACAATCTTGTCCTGGCCCTGGAAAGTTGGACTGACTGGATCTTGTAGTAGAGCTCTTCATCTCTGCTTTCTGAATCATCTGCCTGCTTCATGACCTGGTGCTTCTGTTATGGATTCGGCAAGCTGGTTGACTTGGTGGGTGTGGTTTTTGAGATGAGGGTCGCACCTCTGGTTCTGATTATTTCCATGTTTCTCTATACCCACTTTATTCCTGCAGCTCTAGCGGAGGAGTTAGAATGCAGTGGCTGCAGCATTAAGTGTTGTTAGTTTGAAAAACATGGGTGAATTGGTTTGGTTGCTGTGTTGACAGAATTCTAATAACCTCTATGGATTTCGGGAGGTGTGCATTCATGTTGTCTTCCCCACTTCTGATTCAAGCAGGTAAAACAAGCAAGGGAAACAATTTTATGGAGTCTGTACCCTCTCTCCAGTAACAGCTTTGGTGTGTTCTTGGGATGGGGGGGGAACATCACCAGTTTTGGAATAGTGGGATGAGGTATCTGTCACAGACTTGAACAGCGGTGTTCAGAGGAATGCTTTTCTCTAAAAACTTACTTCTCTCTCTCTGTCTCTCTCTCTCAGACCCAAGAATTCAAAGCAGCCAGAGCGGGAAGAGAAACGGGTCCTGGGTCTGGTATTGCTGCGAGGAGAGAACCTGGTGTCTATGACAGTTGAGGGGCCACCTCCAAAAGATGTAAGGAGGATGGGTGCAGAACCAAAGGGGTCAGACAAATCCAGTGTCCATTGCCAACGGGGTTTAAATGGCTAGTCATTAGCTCTACTCTTTCCTGGCACTAGCCTGTGTCTGGATCCAGGGAATTTCACTGTGCAAAGTCTAACTTGTTCTGTAGCAGCTAACACCCATTAGAGATGAAGTGCTTGGGGGTCTGAAACATCTTGCTGAACTGAAATCACTGATTGCTTGTATTTCCCTATGTTTCAGACTGGCATTGCCCGGGTGCCTCTAGCTGGAGCTGCAGGAGGACCTGGAGTTGGGAGGGCAGCTGGACGAGGAGTGCCAGCTGGTGCTCCCATGCCACAGGCGCCAGCAGGGTTAGCTGGTCCTGTCAGAGGAGTGGGAGGACCATCCCAACAGGTGAAATGCTGTGGTTCAGTAGAAGAAAGGACTTAACTCTTGATTACTGTATTTTGAATAGATTTCAATCTCTTGGCTCTGTGTGGTTCAAGTGTTTGTGCTAGGCAACAGCAATCCAAAAATAGATTGAACTGGGGTCCTGGGACTAGCATGTTGCATAGCAGACTCCTCGGCATGTCTGTAGCTCATGCACTGATAGGGAACGGTTTGAAGGAAAGGTGCAGCTTCCTGTATAAAACCCACTTAGTATAATTCTACACTGAATTCCCCGCACAGTAGTGTGTTAAGGGTGTGCAGCCCTGTCTTGTAACGAGGGCTCATACATGAAATGGAAAATGGGGTAAAAGTCCTAAGGCATGAGAAATGAAGTTACACCTTTCTTCTTATTGTCCCATTTGCTATAAAAGCAACACTTTGTGCAGTATTTGTGAATTTTCTTTCTGTTCACAGGTGATGACGCCTCAGGGCCGTGGAACAGTTGCTGCTGCTGCTGCTGCTGCCACAGCTAGTATAGCCGGAGCTCCTACCCAATACACACCAGGCCGTGGTGGTCCTCCCCCTCCAATGGGCAGAGGAGCACCTCCTCCAGGTAAAGAACAGCTTTGCTTGTGGTCTAGGACAAGAGGAGGACCATAAGGTGTGGCTGGATTGATGATGACTTTTGACTTTATCTGAACCCAATGAAGAATTGGTATTAAGCAGGATTACTCTGAGGTCCAGCCAGTAGTGAGTTGTGGCTACATTCAACATGGAACTGTAGCAAACAGTAAGCAAAGAATCTGCTGGAGACAGTTGTTTGTTCCTCTTTGGGTTGGGAGTCTGCGCTTCAGTACTTATTATAAGGCCAATCTGTAGTGAAATGCTCATCCCTATCTTAGGTGTAGCAAGTGTCTGTACCAGTTCTGAAACTTGTCCTCTTCCTTTCATTGCAGGAATGATGGGACCACCTCCTGGCATGAGACCACCCATGGGTCCACCCATGGGAATGCCACCTGGCCGAGGTGCACCCATGGGAATGCCTCCCCCAGGGATGAGACCGCCTCCCCCAGGGATGAGAGGTGAGTGAGCCTTCTTGGTATGTGGGAAGGGTGGTATCCAGTTCTGGATAAGTGTGGGACTGTGACAATGTATAAACTTCAGTAGAGTATGGTGGAGCAGAACTACGTTCCCCCTGCTAGAACAGCTGAGAAACTGCCCTGTAAAACCATTCAGTGTCTCAAGAGGGGCCTCTAGGTCTTTTGAAGCAATGAACTGCACTGTTGCTGAATAGCGTTTTCTGCGTGACCTTGCTTCAGATGCTTTGTTGTTCTTTGTAGACTTTTCAACTGATGGCCTTTGTTCTTTTCCTTCCAGGTCCCCCTCCCCCTGGTATGCGCCCACCACGACCTTAAGATATTCTGTGCTGTTACTGTGGATTGTGTGGGAGCTAGAGTTAAGTGAATGGGCTCTGTTTTGCCCCCTGAACGGCCTAGGATTCATTATGTATATTTTTTTTCTATTTACTGGCTGTAAAATTTGCCCTTTTTAATAAAGTTAGAAAATTCTCCCTTGGGGATTACTTTTATTCCACCTGCAGGTGGTTTGAGGCCCAAGGCTCTATGTGGAAGGTAGAAAAGCACTTAAAATGGTGGTGGCAGGAGCTACCTTCAGTCCTTGAAGGAGTAGCAGCAGGAGCAGCTAATAGGAGTTTTGCAAGGAAGTTCTCCAGCTGAAGGAGTAACTACATGACCATTGAAGTGAGTTTGTGTGCTTGCTGCCTGATTGAAGTATGTAGTGTGGTCTGATTTGGGATCCATCTGCTGAGCCTAGCAGCCTGCTAGGCAAGGCTGAGACCTTCTTAACGAGGCTTTGATCTCTATTCCCTTTAGCACCCATTAATCCTTAACTAGGGGACAGGGCTACTCAGGGAGAGCAGGGATTTAAAAAGCCAACTCCAAAGGGCTTGTCTACACTACCGCGCGGGGTCGATCTAAGATACACAACTTCGGCTACGTGAATAGCGTAGCTGAAGTCTATGTACTTAGATCTACTTACCGCGGTGTCTTTACTGCAGTAAGTCAACAGCTGATGCTCTCTCGTGGACTTTGCTTGTGCTCCTCGTTCTGGTGGAGTACCAGAGTCAATGGGAGAGCGCTCAGCAGTCGATTTATCACATCTGCTGGATCGATTGCTGCCTTCCGAGCTGGCGAGTAGTATAGACGAGCCCTAAGTGAGCAGAGGAGCTAGCTAACAGTTTTGCAAAAGAATGTAAGAGCTAGATGCACCTAATTAACATTCTTTAAACTTAGACCAATAAACTCCCTCCCACCCCCCAAAAAAAGTTACAGGAGTAAAAAGAATGCACACAGAAGTCCAGCAGCAGAGTGGGGACTGTTCTGTTTACTGCAGTGAATACAGCATGTGTGATTACCTGCCTTGTGGCCAGGTGGCGTGTGTCCATTTAGGGCAAGGAACTCATAGCCCTCAGAGACCATGTAAAGGCTCTAGAGACCAGTGTGACTGAACTGGAGGAGCTAAGGGAGACAGAGGCACATAACTGAGACTTTCCTAGACACACAGTGGTCCTACCCCCAGTCTGACAGCCTCTGTGCTATTGAAGAGGATGAAAGTCTTGGTGAAGGAGAACATCAGAGTAGAGGGAAATTATCTTGTAGCTGGGACCCTCCTTCCAGATGCCATGGGTGTCTCCTCACACTGAAATTCCTCCCTGGGGGAGGGAATCCCATTTATTAGAAAAAGCCAGGTAATAGCAATGGGAGACTTGATCACTAGAAATGTAGACAGCTGGGTTTGTGCTGAGACTGAGCATCACATGGTGAATTGCCTGCTGGTTGCAAACATTGCAGATCTCTTGAGACATCTAGACAGGCGTATGTGAAGTGCTGGGGAGAAGCCAGTAGTCATAGTACAAATAGTTACCAATGAAATAAGGAAAGGTAGGAGAGAGGTCCTGGCAGCAAAATGTAAGGAGCTAGGAACAATATTGAAGTCCAGGACCTCCATGGTAGCATTTTCTGATATGCTGCCAGTTACTGCCTGGCAAAGACAATGGTGTAGAGAAGAGGGGTTTAGGTTCATTAGGAACTGGGGAATCTTTTGGAAAGTAGAAGCCTCTAGAGCAGCAGTAGTCTATTTTTGGTCAAGGTCCAGACTCCAGAGAAAAGTAAATAATAATCACAATAATGAGTAAATACAAAGATTTCAGGGTCCATTCAAAAGCATATGGCAGTCTGGATTTGGCCTACAGTCAGTCTATTGACTACCCCTGCTCTAGAGCAATGGTTCCCAACCATTACTCCTCCAGCTCCTAGGGCTCTTCCCTTGGCCTCTTGCAGGAAGGAAGGGGAGCTGACCTGTTGCTCATACAGGAGAAAGGGGAATTGGAGCTCTGATTGGTTGTTCCACCTGCGGCGGAGATGGGCCAGTGAGGCAAACAGCCAATCAGAAAGCAACATGCCCACTTTGTTCTCACACTGCTTCAAAAAAAATTCTGTAGCACACCTGTTTGGGTCAGATGCACACAGGCTCGGAAACACTACTGTAGAAGGAGGATGGGTTCCACCAAACCAAAATGGAACCAGATTGCTGGCAACTAAAATAAAAAGATTGCAGATAAGCTTCTAAACTAAGGGCTGGGGGAAAGCTGACATTTACAGAGGAGCACGTGGTTTGGGCAGAAACATTGGTTAGGAGAGGATCTATTAATGGGGATTCTCTATATCCTAATAAGGAGGTGAGGATGAAAGTTGATAAGCCTTAGGTAGCAGCAGAAAAGAAACACGCAAATGCAAGGGTACCATTCAACTAAATCACAATGGCAGACAGCCAAAAAGCGACACATTGTACATATGCTTATATATAAATGCTAGAAGTATAAATACTAAGATGGGTGAACTTGAGTGCCTGATATTCAGTGAAGATATTGATAAAATCTGCATCACAGAAACTTGGTAAAACAATGATAATCCATGGGACGAAGTAATAGCAGGGTAGAAAATATTACAGGAATGTCAGAAGGGTGTGCTGGTGGGATAGTGGCACAAGAAATGAAAAAACATCAAGTTAAATATATTGAAAATCAAATAGTACTATAGAATCTTTAGGGTAGTGGTCTCTAACCTTTTGAAGCACAAGATCACTTTTTGAATTTAAGTGCAACCCAGGATCTACCTCAAAGAAAATGTAGAAATAACAGGTTTCAGAGGAACAGCCGTGTTAGTCTGTATTCGCAAAAAGAAAAGGAGTACTTGTGGCACCTTAGAGACTAACCAATTTATTTGAGCATGAGCTTTCGTGAGCTACAGCTCACACAAACCCAACACCCTTGTCCTGCTGCTTCCCTGAGGCTCTGTCCAGCTCACTTTATCCTCCCCCTCTCCCTTACTTTCACCAACCTGGGACAGGGGGTTGGGGTGCAGGACTGGGGTTCAGATTCCAGCTGGGCACTGTTTACCTCAGGTGGCTCCCAGGTGGTGGTGCAGCAGGATTAAGGCTGTCTCCCTGCCTGCTCTGGGAAGTGGCCAGCATGTCCAGCAGCAGCTCTGAGGGGGTGTGGTGGTGGGGGGAGGTGGCTCCACACACTGCTGGCCCCCTCCCAGGCATTTCCCCTGCAGCTCCAATTGGCCACAATTCCGTTCCTGGCCAATGGGCGTTGCAGGGCCCATGCATGGAGACCCCGCCCCCAAGGAGTTCAAACATGAAATTACAGAACTAGTAACAGTGGTATGTAACCTTCATTTAACTCAGCTTCTGTGCCAGATGACTAGAGGCTAGCTAATGTGAGACCAATTTTTTTAAAAAGGCTCCAGAGGGGATCCTGGCAATTACAGGCTGGTAAACCTAACTTCAGTACCAGGCAAACTGGTTGAAACTATAGTAAAGAACAGAATTATCAGATGCGTAGATAAACATTATTTGTTGAGGAAGAATCCACACAGCTTTTGTAAAGGGAAATGTATGCCTCAATCTACTAGAATTCTTTGAGGGGGTTAACTAACGTGGACAAGGGTGCTCCAGTGGATGAATATGATAGAGGTCTATAAAATCATGAATGGAGTAGAGAAAGTGACTTAGGAATGTTATTTACCCCTTCATGTAACACAAGAACCAGGAATCGCCCAATGAAATTTATAGGTAGCAGGTTTAAAATGAACAAAAGGAAGTACTTCTTCACACGAGACACAGTCAACCTGTGGGACTCATTTCCAGGGAACCTTGGAAGACCAAATGTATAACTAGGTTAAAAAAAGAATTAGATGAGTTCATGGAGGATAGGTCTCTGCATAGCTACTAGCCAGGATGGTTAGGGATGCAACCCTATGCTCTGGTGACCTTACCCTCTAAATGCCAGAAACTGGGAGTAGACAACAGGGGATGCATCACTCAATAGTTGCCCCGTTCTTTTCATTCCCTCTGAAGTACCTGGCATTGGCCATTGTTGAAAGACAGGATACTTGGCTGGATGGACCACTAGTCTGACCCAGCATGGCTCCTCTGATGTTAACCAATAGGTGGGAGTCCCCCAGAATTTGCACTTACAGTCCTTTCTCCTGCCAGAGGCCTCCTAGAACAGTGGATTCTAGTATTCACCTTTTAGAGCTTTTCTTCAAAATGTCTGCAGCCTCAGGAAGCTATTACTGGTTTGGTTACACATGGCTCAGTTTTTAAACATAAAAGCAAGCTCTGTGTTTGCTGTAAGTAGGAGACTCCAGGAGCTGGGACTCAGCTGAATTATGAAGTCAGCAAATAACAATAGTTTGGCATCTGTCCCATTATGCCACTACAAACGGCCCTGTCTACATCTCAACATAGACAACTAAAAATGGAACTTGGCCTTCACTCCCAAATGAGTTTGACACCCCTGGTTTAAGTACATTTCACCTTTTCTGGACTGTGCTGCAGCAAGCTGTTCTAATCCAGTCATGTTCATCCTAATTTGTAGCTTCTGGTCACGTTTTTGATTGAGACCCACATCTGTACTCTCCACTGTAGAATTGCTACCTGTCCTTTTGTTAAACTGGGTATTAGTAAGCTTGCCAGACCAAGGTCAACTGTTTCTTCTATCACGGGGCTCCCTCCCTTGTCAAGACCTAATGCACTGAGTAAGACCTCATACAGTAGGAGCAGGCAGAGTGGTGGCTTATATGTATTGGGACTAGTGCTAGAGTATTTTTTCCAGCATCTGCAGCCTTCTACAGCCATTGCATTAGGACAGCAAGGAAGAAAATAGCTGGAGTGAATATAGTCTGAATCTAGGCATATTTGTTCCTGCAGCATAGCACAACATAGGGCTACTTCCTTCTCACAAAGGGAGAGGCAGGCTATGCCCTCAGTGCTCATGCCTGTGCTACCTCTAGTAGACCTTTGGTCTAGAGAAACTGCTACTCCTTGTGACTGTTCAACTCTTCTCTGTTTTAGAGCAGGATTCCAAGGGCTAGATGTAGATACAGCCCTTTCTCCTCTATTTTCTCTCCCACTAACTTCCTGGCAGTATCAGCAAGTGGTGCCACCCTTCTTCAAGGAAAGTTGATGACTAGAGTTAAGTAACTATTTGTCCGCTTACTACATCTGTTCCTGTAATGTTACTATGTGAAAACTGCTGGAACTTATTGTACGATGCTTGCCTCCTTGCTCACTGATGTAGGTGTACAGCTCAAGACGTAAAGAAGTGAGAACCATCCTGGCAGTTTTGTACTATCTCCCATGGTCTAGTTTTCTCAATTGCCACAGCTAAGTGAGCAGCAGGCTATGTTACAAAAGTATAAGGAAGTCAATCCTTCGCTGCAACTGCAGAAGACATGGTTTTCCTTTATGTGCTAATTCAGCAGGTGCTGGTGCATTTACACTGAGTCCAAGAATTTAACAGACATTGTAAGTTCAGGCCACTTAAGAGGCTACATTATTCTAGCAAATACAGAATGGAAAGCAGGGTTTTTCTGGAAGAGGCACAAAGTCTCCCACAGTTAGATTTTCCAGGGAATCCTTCTGGCAAAGAGCTGCTGTCACTTCCTCTTATACCTGTAAAAAGACAATATTGGAAGTCCCAGTCAGTCCAAATGCCTGCACTGGTGATAAAGGGACAGGATAGGGGTAAATGAGCTCCTAGACAAAGGCAATGCCAGCCTCCTCAGAAGTAGCCCACCAGTGTGCCAGTAAAACACAAGTCTCCATGTGTGTTCCCAAGAATGGGGCTGGCAGCACTGGCTGAACAGGGCTGACTTTGCATCAACATTAGCACCATGGGTGCTTGTCTGCTGTGGCCCTTCAAGGAGGAAATGGGACAAACCAGGCCAACAGAAAAGTCTTAAAGGTAATAAGGCTGTTTACCTGGATTTGGATTTGAAGTTCCCTCCTTTCCTGTGTCGGGCTAAGCCCAAACGCTTCTGCTCGTCAAAGGAGGGGCTGCACGAGAAAGAGCTCAGTGAGACATAGCCATGCTCCCTGAAATAGGAAACTCTATACCCCTCTGCTCAGTTCATGTGTTGCCCACTGGGTTCGTGCTTTCCTGCCATGATTCAGCACTTTTCTGGTGCTGACTGGGAGGACAGTCTTAGCTGAGAAGTATTCCTTTGCTCACCCACTGCATTGCCCCCAGCCCATGCAAGACGTGGTTTCCCCACTCATGCCACCTGATCTCTTCCTGCCCCCAGATACCTTGAGTGGCCTTATGGAAGCAGCACCTCTGGTCTGTGACAGAGGTGCTCTCAGACAGGACACCCTCTGCTCTCCTCACAAGATATTTAAGGTAGATAGAATGACTCCTGTATAACTCTCCCTTGCCCCCACTATCCTTCAAAGCAGCAAGATGAAGCCTGAGCCTCTCTCTACTGTCTGCAGAAGGTATCACTGGTGAAGATTTCCCTGGTTGTGCAGGGAATAGAGTGCCTCCACCACAGCCTGTGCAAACCCAGTGATGCTGAGCCAAGTTACCCAGCACGATACTGTTTTAGGGCCTTCCTGCTTGTGTTGGTGAGCTCCTCATCGAAGACAGATGATTGCTTCTTCCGTTTGGGACCTTGGAAAGCAAGCAACAGAGCCAGCGATTAGCAAGGCTTGATGTACAGAAGCAGGATCCCTGCGAAGGTCACACAGTCCACAACATTATTTGCATTACTAAAGCGCCTAGGAACTCAAGTCATGGACCATAACCCCATGGTGCTACATGGTGTACAAATGCAGAACAAAAAGACTGGCCTCAGCCCTCCTAGTGATCGGTGTGGGCACTAGGAACATCCATTTTATAGACAGGAAATGGACTCTCCCGTCACTGCCTGCAGTCTCTACTGTTCCAATCTTCCAGGTCACTTTCTATTGATTTGGGTGTTTGTCAACAGCACAGCCACCAATGGCATCTATGCAATCAGCATTACGGTAAATGCTAGCAGCAAAACCCTCCTGCACCCCAGCAGTAAACATGCTCTCAGCTCTCACAAGCAGCATGCAGCTCTAAGGAGCAGCCACATTGCAACTGGGAAATCAGCTAAAGCATTCTCTGAGCTGTTTTTGTGGAGAACAGATGCTCTTCTCTTACCTGCTGAGGGAGGCTCATCCTCGGGCACAACTCGAGCTCGCTTTGCTCGGCGGTTCCTCTTTGCTACACGCTCTGCATACATCTGTGACTTCAGGATTTCAAATTGTGATCTCTCCTCTGGCTGGGAGAGACAGAAATCTAAGTTTACAGCTAATATGCCCCTGCATGAGGGAGCAGACCAAGCCACCCAGGCCCCTGCCTCCTCTCGGATCCCCTCACTCACTGTCATTTGGCCTTTTTTCTGAGTATCCTGCATAAATGTCTTCCTCTTCTTCTTTCCTCTCAACGCCAAGTCAAATTCCTGAAGGGCTTTAGCCACTGGTGAGACACAGACGGGGTGAGGGAATACAGAAGGTTCAAGAGCAGAGAGCAATTTCAGACCTGATTCAGAGATGCATGATTCGAATTAGCCCATTGGTCCAGACCCAAAGGCCTCCCTCTTCCCAGGACTCACATTTCTCTTTCTTTCTCTCCTCTCGGCTCTGGAACCAGCTCCGCTCAGGCCCCTCTTCTACCTTCTGTTCTCCTGTCTCCAGTCGCTTCTTTGCCATGTTGATCTGTGGGACAGCCCAAGCAGACGGGGAGCTCATGGACCTGCAGAGTGGCCGCTACCCAGTCTGGGGAACCTAGGGCAGACACCTCACTGGGTCCCCCTGTCAGCGTTAGTGCATAGAAGCCCCTGGTATGTATGGATTACAGTGCATGGAGCCTCGAGAGCCCCTACTCACCTTCACTAGGTGACTGGGGGCACATTCCCCAACCAATAATGCCCTATCCTGGGCTAGGGGCTTTGCCCTGTCCATCCTCCAGAGTAGCCAGCCCACACCCAGGGGAGTGAGTTCCCCATATCTCAGTGCCTTACCCAGCCCAGACTGTAGGAGCAAGCCCTCACTACCCTCACCTGGGCCTCTGATTGCTGCATCTCACGCTCTTCACGCTCTAGACGCAGCACTGCATACACATCTTTCTCCAGCTTCCCAATCTTATCCCGGAATTTCAGGATCACATCTGCAAACGCACCCAGTGGGGGCCAGAGAGAAAGACACACATGGTCTTTGTGAGAATTGTCTGCGCTTCAGCACCTCCCATCCTCACCGGGCTCCTTGTCTGTAACCCCGTCCTAGCAAGGCACATACCCTGGGGGAGGATTCTAGCCTTCACTGGCATCTTGGCTGTCTTCACAATCTCCTTCAGCATCTTGCGCTCCTCCTCGCCCACCAGTGAGACTGAGCGGCCAGCCCGACCGGCCCGTGCTGTCCGCCCCACCCGGTGCACATAGTGCTTGGTGGTGTTGGGCATGGTGAAGTTGATCACCTGTGGGGAAGAGATGGGATTAGCAGGGAAGCAAGGCCAGTGCCAGACTCATGGGACCTCAAGAGGGCTCAGAGCCTCGCACACTTACCGTTTTGACACCCTCAATGTCAAGTCCTCGGGCCGCAACGTCCGTAGCTACCAGTACATCAATCTGCTCATCTTTAAAGCGCCTGACCGCAGAGAATACAAGCTGTTATGCAAGCAGTGGGCTCCCTCCACAATTCCTGCAGAAGCCACTCTTCTCCCCCTCTGGGGCTACCCACTATGCCAGTACCTGAGGGCCTCCAACCGCTGTGTCTGAGAGAGGTTCCCATGCAGCTCCCCCACCTGCAGACCCATCAGCCCCAGCAGGATGTGCATGCGGTGAGCCTGCTTCTTGGTCTGTGTGAAAAGCATCACGTGGTCTGTGAAGGTCCGTGTCAGCAGAGCTGAAAGACGAAGTCCTGTCAGCAAGCAGCAGAGACAACTCCAGGTGTCCCCACAAAGCTGCCTTGCAGTGAAACACTGCTTCCAGCTTTCCCATGCCACTTGCCAGGGCTCACCCACCCAACTCCTCCTCCCATGCTGCTCTACTCACCTGACACGATAGCTTCTCTGTCCCCTTCTCTGTTGGGACGGACCCGGATGAATTCCTGCCGCAGGAAAGGGGCTACGTCCGTGTTGCTATTCACAAAAATCCGGACAGGATTCTTCAGGGAAACAGCAGCCAAATCCTTTACCTATCCAAATGAAGGAAGGGAAGTGTCACTACACTGAAAAAGGGAAGTCTGCCAAAACCCTCCATCCCCACCCTCCCATCTGAACTGAACATGCCTCCGAACAGGCTGCATAGGCCCCATCCTTACCTCATCTGTCATGGTGGCAGAGAACAGCATGGTCTGACGGTGGTGGGAGCACAGCCGAATTATCTCCTTCATCTGTTCCTCAAAATACTCATCCAACATCCTAGAAAGGAGAGAAGGGTCGAGCAGAGTCTTCTACAGCATCAACCCTGACCAGCTGCTGTTCTAGACCAGGCAAACTCTCCTCTCACAGCAATGGGCAAGCTAGAAGCCAATGCCTCATTCTCCACCACCCACCCACCCAGCTTACCTGTCTGCCTCATCCAAGATCAGCACCTCGATGCTGCTCAGGTGGAAGGAGGGGCAGTTATGGAGATGATCTATCAGGCGCCCAGGAGTGGCAATGAGAATGTCTGGCCCAGAGCGCAAAGCTGCCTCCTGAGTCTTCACATCCAAACCCCCTGTGATGGTGAAAACCCAGAAAGGACCATGAGATCCTGGAGCAGGATGAGATAGAGAGCCCCCAGGCCTGTATCCATTGCGGGGTGAAGAGTCCTTTCAATGAGTGCCTCAGACATCAGATACAAAAGAGACCCCTTGATTGCAGATATGGTCCGTCCCCAGATGCCATGGGAGAAGCACAGGATACCACTCCAGGTTAAAGCATCAGTGTGTGTACACGCTGTGAACAGGAGCACAACTGCCCTATAGCCTGACCAGCTCTAATCATGGGACGCCAGGTTCTCTATGCCCTCATCCCTTAGAGTTAGGGGTTACCTGGAGCAGTTTGGAAGAGGATAGCATGGTCCATGCGAACTGAACTCTCAGCCCCATGGCTCATACTCACCCACAGCTAGGCAGGTTGTGACGCTGCTGAACTGGGCCAGCTGCTTGGTGACAGAGTGCACCTGAATGCCTAACTCTCGGGTTGGCACCAGAACCAGCACCCGAGTCACTGGAGCCTGGCGAGGTTTGTAGATCAAGCGCTCCAGTACAGGTAGGGTGAATGCAGCAGTTTTACCTGCAGAACAAAGGGCATCAAGAATTAGTTCACCTCAAAAACATGATGCTTCCCATAGCATCTCAGTCCTCATTCAGGCTCTTACCTGTCCCAGTGGCAGCACAAGCACAAATATCCTTTCCCAGCAGACCCACGGGGATACAGGCCTTCTGGATTGGGGTTGGCTGCTTGAAGCCCAGGGCTGTGATTGCCTGCCAAGGAAACAGAATAGTTAGGCATCAGATAAAAGAAAGGGAAATCTCAATCTAGATGCGACCTGTGTAGTGGAAATCTCACCTTATTCTACACTAGAAAACATTAATTCCCACAAAGCTAGCGCTCATGCCCATTTCCTACACTGTCTCCTGCTAGGAGAGGCTGCGACTGGAGTAGCTGGGAGCTTCCCCAAAAGCACATGGGAGAGGCTGTGAACTCCTCCCCCCTTCCTTGCAATCCTTTCTGCAGTGACTCAGATAGCTTAATACCTTTAGTAGAGGGCGTGAGAGGTTCATGTCCTGGAATGACAAGTTATCATCGTACTGAGATGCATCTTCGAAAAATCTCTCTGTTTCCTGAAGGAAATAAAACAAAGAGGAAGAGCTGAAAATTTCCAGCACACATTGCACTTCTGGGCTCCATCCTACACACTATCGTTTGTCAAGTGGGTCTGGGTTCTTTGGGATGGAAGGTGCTTGCTGGAGAAATGCTCAGTGTTATTCTGCCCTTCCCTCCAGTGACACTCACAATCTCTCCTACTTTCTTCTGTCTCTTTCGCTCCTTCACCTTGAGGGTATCTGAAAAGAAAGAGAGATATGCTAAGTATTTTCCACTGAATGCATCTGATGAAGTGAGCTGTAGCTCATGAAAGCTTATGCTCAAATAAATTTGTTAGTCTCTAAGGTGCCACAAGTACTCCTTTTCTTTTTGCTAAGCATTCGGTATCAGCTAAGAGCAACTTCAACCCCAACCCCGGCATGGAAGCCCCAACCCCAACCAAGGCATGGAAAAGAGGAGACTAAGGGGGGATATGACAGAGGTCTATAAAATCATGAGTGGTGTGGAGAAAGTGAATAAGGAAAAGTTATTTACTTGTTCCCATAATATAAGAACTAGGGGCCACCAAATGAAATTAATGGGCAGCAGATTTAAAACAAAGGAAGTTTTCTTCACACAGCTCACATTCAACCTGTGGAACTCCTTGCCTGAGGAGGTTGTGAAGGCTAGGACTATAACAGGGTTTAAAAGAGAAATAGATAAATTCATGGAGGTTAAGTCCATTAATGGCTATTAGCCAGGATGCGTAAGGAATGGTGTCCCTAGCCTCTGTTTGTCAGAGGGTGGAGTTGGATGGCAGGAGAGAGAACTTGATCATTACCTGTTAGGTTTACTCCCTCTGGGGGACCTGGTATTGGTCACTGTCAGTAGACAGGATACTGGGCTGGATGGACCTTTGGTCTGACCCAGCATGGCCATTTTTATGTTCTTATGTTTCCTGCACCCCAGCATGCCTGCCAGAATTCTACCCCACATCTTCCCCCAGTCAGTCATTGATGGAGAGGCCTGTGAAACTGATTCCCAAGCAAACTGGGGAATCAGTTGGCAAGCAAGTTCCTTTCCCCATGGAAAGGACACACCTCTGATGAAAATACTGGGAGCTGAAACTCCAATTAGACAAGAGCAAAATCTGGGAGAACAATATTGCAGGGACCAGCAGGGAGGATATATGCCAAATAAAGGAGATTCCTGCCCATTCCCCTTCCAACCTACCCTCCATGCTGCCACTGGTGCCAGCTCTCTCTCATGAGATTCTCTTCTCCACTCTGCCAATGGCCCCCGACTAATTTCTTTCTTCCTGCCCTTCCCCACACTTGTAATTACCTGCTTTGGTGAGGATACTCTCATCAGTTGAGGAATATTGGGACTCTACATCCTCTTCCTCCTCTCCACTGTCTTCCTCACTTTCCTTCTCTTTGGTTTCTTCCCCTTTCATCTTAACATGTTTCGCTTCCCTTTCCTAAGAGAAGACATGAGATCAATGGCCTGGGGAGTGTGTCAGAAAGATCCCAGCCAACCTCTGAACAGAAGTTTCCAAAGGTTTCCTTATGGAAAAGGGGATGGAAAGAAGGGCAAAGTTCCCTTCTCCCCTCCACAATGGGAGGTCCTTCCAAGGGTTGTTGGTGGTAGGAGCTAAAAGCTTTTGTCCACCAATCAGTGAACATCCCACTAACCTGCGTTTTCCTTTTTTTTCTCACTTTTTCAATCTTCTCATCCAGTGTTGTTGCTGCTGCTCTCTGGGCAGGGCAAGACAGACAGTTAGGGAGAGGAAGGATAGGAGGGGGTAGGGATAGCTCAGTGGTTTGAGCATTGGCCTGCTAAACCTAGGGTTGTGAGTTCAATCCTTGAGGGGGCCATTTAGGGATCTGGGGCAAAAATTGGGGATTGGTCCTGCTTTGAGCAGGGGGTTGGACTAGATGGCCTCCTGAGGTCCCTTCCAACCCTGATATTATATGACATTATATGACAAGGGGGAATCTGTAAGAGCCACCCAGCAGCGGCTCTGGCACACAGCGATGCTGGCAAATAACAAAGGGAATAGGAAAACATGATCATCATCATTTATATGCAGGTCCCAAAAGTCTGCAAGGTGCATGACAGAGCAGTGAGAGAAGACTTGGTCCCTCTCCCAGAGACCTTTCAACCTAAAGTCTGGGGCAATACAAAAAGTCAGAGTGAAACAACAGGGTATGGGACTTGGGTGTTTTGGGCATATATCCATTGTCTCCATTAGTTTTAATTCAGTTTACCAGACAAAGAAAGGTGGGTGGTGGAATGGGCCCTAAGTGACCCGGGTCACGGCACTGAGCTGCCTGGTAAGGTTCCGAGAGGACCCTACGCACCCCAGGAGACTCGACCAGCGCAACCTCCATCCCCTGCATTCTCCGAGGGGGGAAGGAAACGTGCAAGGCCGTTTACCGTAGAGAGAGCGATCAGCAGAGCCGCCCGCCATTCGCCCCACCGCCCCACGCAAGGCGAAGGAAACGTTCCGTGCAAGTGGGGAGCCAGGCTCCGGAACAGAGCCGAGGCGCGGCCTGCTCGCCCCGCGCACACTGGGCGTTCCGGCTGCGGGGGGCACGAGACGCGCCGCTACTAGCCGCGTTTAAGACCCGCAGAGCGTTGGGGCCGCCGGCAGGGCGTCCGGGCCCCCCCCGGCGCCCCTCCTCGGGCAGGGCGTCCGCGCCCCCCCCGCGCCCCTCCTCGGGCAGGGCGTCCGCGCCCCCGCCCCGCGCCCCTCCTCGGGCAGGGCGTCCGCGCCCCCCCGCGCCCCTCCTCGGGCAGGGCGTCCGCGCCCCCCCCGCGCCCCTCCTCGGGCAGGGCGTCCGCGCCCCCCCCCGCGCCCCGCGCCCCTCCTCGGGCAGGGCGTCCGCGCCCCCCCCCGCGCCCCGCGCCCCTCCTCGGGCAGGGCGTCCGCGCCCCCCCCCCGCGCCCCGCGCCCCTCCTCGGGCAGGGCGTCCGCGCCCCCCGGGCCCCGCGCCCCTCCTCGGGCAGGGCGTCCGCGCCCCCCCGCGCCCCGCGCCCCTCCTCGGGCAGGGCGTCCGCGCCCCCCCCGCGCCCCGCGCCCCGCCTCGGGCAGGGCGTCCGGGCCCCCCGGGCCCCGCGCCCCTCCTCGGGCAGGGCGTCCGGGCCCCCCCGGCCCCGCGCCCCTCCTCGGGCAGGGCGTCCGGGCCCCCCCCGGGCCCCGCGCCCCTCCTCGGGCAGGGCGTCCGGGCCCCCCGGGCCCCGCGCCCCTCCTCGGGCAGGGCGTCCGCGCCCCCCCGGGCCCCGCGCCCCTCCTCGGGCAGGGCGTCCGCGCCCCCCGGGCCCCGCGCCCCTCCTCGGGCAGGGCGTCCGCGCCCCCCCCCGGGCCCCGCGCCCCTCCTCGGGCAGGGCGTCCGCGCCCCCCCGCGCCCCGCGCCCCTCCTCGGGCAGGGCGTCCGCGCCCCCCCCGCGCCCCGCGCCCCTCCTCGGGCAGGGCGTCCGCGCCGCGCCCCGCGTCCGCGCCCCGCCTCGGGCAGGGCGTCCGGGCCCCCCCCCCGTGACCCCCCTCGGGCAGGGCGTCCGGGCCCCCCCCCGGCCACGCACCTTGCCCCTGAGCTGGCGCAGCGCCTCCGCCCAAGCCCCGCTCGCCGCGCCCGGAGCCTCCTTCTCCGCGAAGACGAAGCCGGCGCTGAAGTCCCCGCCGCGGCGTCTCTGCTGCCCCCGGCCCCGCGGCCCCTGCGGGCGAGAAGGGGGTGAGGCAAGGCCCAGACAGCGGCCTGGCTCCGGGGGCCCGGCCCGGCCGCCCCTCACCTCCGCCTCCTCCTCCGCCGCCGAGTCCCCGGACTCGGGCTCCTCTGGCGCCGCGTCCCCCTCCCCGAGCGTGGCCACGAGCCCGAGCGCCTGCAGCATGGCGCGCGCCGAGAACGCCCCCGCCCGCGGCCCGGTCCCGATCCCGATCCCGATCCCGGTCCCGGCTCAGCAGGCGCGCGCCGAGAACGCCCCCCGTCCAGGTCCCGGCACAGCAGGCACGCGGCGCTCGGCCTCGGTCGCGCGCGGCGCATGCGCGGAGGCCCGCTGGGCGGGGCCACGGGCTCCCCGATACGCCCCGCCCCCCGGCGGAGTCACCCCCCCGCCCCGGAAAGGAAACTGAAAGCGCCGGCGGGGGGACGCTGCTTCCCCGTCGGGGTCCGGGCGGCGCCGCGGGCTGGGAGCGAGCCGCGGGGTCTGGCTGGTGAGGCGCGTCCCCGCTCTCCCTCTCCCGGCCCGGGGCGGCTCTTGGCTCGGGCCAGGCTGGGTCTCTGCGAGCTTCCGGGCCTAGGCAAGGCTCGGCCCAGCGCGGAGGGTGGCCGGGTAACGGGTGGGGGCAGTCAGCGGTGCTGAGGAAAAGCCCCCCATGGTGGTAGGGCGCCGTTCGTGCCGGGGGGTCAGGCTGGAGGCGGGGGCAGGCCGGAAAGGGGGGGGCTGGAGGTTAGGCTGGGGACTGGAAAGGGGGGGAGGTAGGCCCGGGGGCTGGAGGGGGGGGGCGGAGGTCAGGCCGGGGGCTGGAGGTCAGGCCGGAAAGGGGGGGGCTGGAGGTCAGGCCGGGGACTGGAAAGGGGGGGAGGTAGGCCCGGGGGCTGGAGGGGGGGGGCCGGAGGTCAGGCCGGGGGCTGGAGGGGGGGCAGGCTGGAAAGGGGGGGGCTGGAGGTTAGGCTGGGGACTGGAAAGGGGGGGAGGTAGGCCCCGGGGGCTGGAGGGGGGGGGAGGTCGGGGGTGGAGGGGAGGTCAGGCCGGGGGCTGGAGGTCAGGCCGGAAGGGGGCGGCTGGAGGTTAGGCTGGGGCTGGAAAGGGGGGGGGCCGGGGCTGGAGGGGGGGGCTGGAGGTTAGGCTGGGGGGGAGGGGGCAGGCTGGAAAGGGGGGGGCTGGAGGTTAGGCTGGGGACTGGAAAGGGGGGGAGGTAAGCCGGGGGATTGAAGGGGGGGCCAGAGTTCAGGCCCGGGGCTGGAGGGGGGGCAGGCCGGAAAGGGGGGGGGGCGGAAGTCAGGTTGGGGGCTGGAGGGGATGGAGGTCAGGCTCTAAGAAGCTGGGAAATGACACTGCTGAACTTTGCATTTGTGAATTTTGAGCAAAAAATGGTGCAGTGGGTTTGTGTTTGGTGCAGGGTGTCCTGGAAACGCCCTCCAGCTACAGGAGCTCTTGGGCAGCCCCCCTTGGGCTGGGCTGGGCTGGGCTAGTGGGGAACCAGAAACTGAAACTGACTAGAGAGAAGTGACAAACTGGTGAGCTGTTTTTCAGTGATACAGAAACCGACCAGTAGCAGTAGGGTGGTGGGTAAGGACTTGGTATTTGTCTTAACTAGACCAAGCCTTGGAAAACAGGGTTTGTGATTCCTGGGACACTTGAAGACCCTGGCGATGGGAATGAGAGGCAGTTAAGGGAAAGGGGTGTAGTTCCATAGGGACGCTTCTTTGAGGGTTGCTTGTGCTGGGCTGGCCTGATTGACACTTATGTCTCCTATCTCTTAGGACAGGGACCACCATGGTGTAGGCAGGCTGCTTTGAGAGAGCAGGGTGGGACAGGGAGGATTTGGCTCAGAGGTGTCCTCATGGGAGGACAGGGAGCATGAGGCCATCAGACGGGGGTGTTCCAATGCTCAGTGGAAGGAAACTGGATTTGGGACAGTGACAGATTCATGTTTAGGGGAAGAGGTGCAGATGGTGAAGTGTGCCTAGTATGTGAAGTGTTAATTTATAAGCTAAGACAGTATAACTATCCTTGAATTGGCAACATCAGGTGTAATTGGTGCCCTGTATAGTAACATACCTTGTGGAGTTAACACTGTCCCCCACAGAGGTGTCCAGGATGCTCCTGGTTTTGTGGATGCTGGGCTGGGTTGGCTTGGTCCTCTTTAAAAGATTGTTTGGCTTTGTCTCTCTTCCTGCAGCAGCACAAAGAACCAGGCAGAAGAGGACTTGAGTGACTCTCTAGAGGAATGGATGGCAGGAGACCTGGACAGGAACCCTACCCAAGGCAGCACAATGTTAACTGGAGAGGTGAGTTGCCTGCTTGATGAATGGAGCTAGAGGAACAACTGAGATTGAAACTGAAATAAATTGAAACCCACTTCTCTCCCTGTCACCCATTCCCAGTGCCGGACACACCACCATCTCTCTAAGATCTTCTACCACACCCATCACTGTGGTCTCAGAGTAGGGATTGGTTGGTACATATTTACAGAAGCACCTTTTTAGATTTTTGTTTCAGTGAGTTTTATTGGTTTCATTTGACTAATGCCAAATAGAGGCAGATAGGGATGAGTCCTATGCCTTGGAAACTGTCTGTTTATCTACATGCTTATTTGACTATTGTTACCATAGTATCTGGCACCTAATTTGTCCGTCCATTGCCAAATTCTCTCCCCTAAAGTTCTGACCCAACTGCTGCTTTCTCATGGGCTATTAAACCAGCCAATTAACTGCTGGCAAAACCCAATCTGTAAAGAGGACTTCATCTTGGGCCCCGTGCTGTTCAGCTTTTCAGCATGTGGAAAGGGAGTGATTTTACTTTCTGGCTGATAGTTTGATAGTTTAACCGCAATCCTAAACTTTAGGTTGGGCATTTTCCTCCGTGCCTGCTCGTTGCTAAGGGTAAGATTCTGTCACGGGTATTTTTCATAAAAGTCAGGGACAGGTCGCTGGCAAGAAACAAAAATTCATGTAAACCCGTGACCTCTCCTTAACTTTTACTAAAAATATCGGAGTGGGGGGACGGATGGGGACTTACAGTGGGAGGGCTGCAGGGATGAGGGGGGCCATTGGGGGTTGCTTCTCCCCTCTCAGGGCTGGTGGCCACTGCTGCTCCAGTGGCCCTGAGGGCCGGCTGGACAGCTGCTTGGGTAGCCAGCCCTGGGGCTGACTGCAGTAGCTGCCCCAGTGGTAGGGGCTGACCCAATCCCAACCCCACACCCTGCTGCTTCAGCCCTGGCACTGCTGCTCTGGCAACTCCGGGGCTGACAGCTGCTCCAGCCCTGCTACTGTGGAAGTCCTGGAGGTCCCAGAAAGTCATGGAATCCATGAGCGAATCGTACTCTTACTCATCATGCAGCAGAAAACATACTGAGGGTCATGGTGTAAATAAAATATTAGTTCTATAATGTGATGTGAAACGTCTGAAACATGCTGCTGCTGGCAAGTGTGGTGTCATGGGGAGTGGGGGTTATCCCAAGGAACATAGTGTCAGGAAGCAGCCTCTCTAAGGAGGCATTCTCTCTAAATATCTTTTCTCTTTGGGTCCTGTAGAATGTCAAGATGCTGGCTTGCCACAAAGAGGCAGAAACCGAGCAATTAATGCCCCAGGCTATCCTCGGAGAGGAGCAGCCCAACCTGGAGGAAACCCCAGGGTTAACGATAGCCCTCTTCCCCCTGGGCAGAGGGAAGGAAGATACCGTGGTGCAGGACAGTATCCCAATCAGGGAAGGAGAAACCAGGGTGGACAGGCCAACGATGGACCCAGAGGACAGTGGAATGAGCAGGAAAATGAGGCCAGAAGAAGAAGAAATGAAAACCAAGATGGTGGCAGGGGCAGAAGAATCCACCCTTGTGAAAATCCTCGTTTCTATCAGAATCCTGTTCCAGGTGGTGCCCAGTGCCAGGAGCCCAATGAACAGCCTCAGCAAGTCAGGAGGATTGGCTACAAATTTCTGGAAAGTCTCCTTCAGAAAGACCCCTCTGAAGTGGTCATCACACTTGCCTCCAGTTCAGGGCTCAAGGAGCTTCTGTCTCAAACATCCATGAAACCCAGCTTCCTCCAGCTCATCTGCCAGGTTCTTAGGAGGGCATGCAGCTCCAGAATGGACCGCCAAAGTGTCCAGCAGCTCCTGGGGATGGTAAAGGAATCAAACTTCCTCAAGATCTGCCTGCCACAGTATGTTGCAGACATGATGACTGAGGCCATTCCTGCTGTACGACATCAGTTCCCTGAGCATATAAGCAACATCATCTCCCTCCTTCAGGACCTGGTGAGCATTTTCCCAGCCAGTTCTGTGCAGAAAATCTCCATGTTGATGTCTGTCCTGCCAGCATCTATAAATGCCTTGAGAGCATCTGGTGTGGACATTACAGAACAGATTGAGAAGAACCTGGAAAAAGTCCAGACCCTTATTCAGCATCTGCAGGAGAAGAGGCGTGAGGGCACCCTGAGAGCTGACAACTACACCCTAGTGCAACCTCAGGCTGATGGTCAGGAAGAAACCTATCGCACAATGACCATCTACCCCACATACAATGAGGTGCATCGGGATAAAAAGCCCTTTCTTCGTCCCAATATTGTCTCTGGGAGGTATGATAGCACCAGCGTTTACCTGGACACGCATTTCCGGCTCCTGAGAGAGGACTTTGTCAGGCCATTAAGGGAAGGCATCTTGGAGCTTTTGCAGAGCTTTGAGGACAAAGGTTTGAGGAAAAGGAAGTTTGATGACATCAGAATCTACTTTGACACCCGGATCATCACCCCCCTCTGCTCCTCATCTGGCATAGTCTACAAGGTCCAGTTTGACACAAAGCCCCTAAAGTTTGTGCGATGGCAGAATTCCAAGCGTTTGCTGTATGGGTCTCTGGTTTGCATGTCTAAAGACAACTTTGAAACATTCCTTTTCGCCACTGTGTCGAACCGTGACAATGCAGACCTGTCCCAGGGAATCGTGCAGCTGTGCTTTAATGAGCACAGCCAGGCGCTGCTGGCAGAGGTCCAGCCTTCTGACTCCTTTCTCATGGTGGAGACAACTGCTTACTTTGAAGCCTACCGACATGTGCTGGAAGGGCTGCAGGAGATCCAGGAAGAAGATGTCCCATTTCAGAAATACATTGTGGAGTGTGATGTATTGGTGAAGGAGCCAGCATACCTGGCAACGGGCACCACCTACAACCTTGCACCCCTGACAGAGGAGCCTTCTGCAGTTGGAAAGGAGGGTTTCCTGGGTGGCTTGAGAAGACAGAGGGTGAATGTTCTAGACCCCAACCAGTGGCCTTCAATGGAAGCCTTGAAGTTAGAT